TTTACAAGCATCTTTTCCGTTTTTTGTAGACCGACCTTCTCTTACAGTTTTTCCCAAAAGTCCGCCACTGAAGAAATTTTTGGAGTGGCTAAATTGTACATCAGACGTCAGTCTACAACTCTATTTAAAAAAAATCCAGTTTGCATGATTTGGTAGAGATAAAAACAGCTTTCATTCCTGCGGAAGTCAATTTCCGCTCTAAATGTAGACTGATTTTTTGCAACTTGTTTTGCTCAGAACTAATGAAGCATGTATTCGTTCTCGATGAAACTTCTGCACTAGATAGAGCCTCAAAAGTTGTACTAGCAAAAGTAATTTCAGGTCGAATCCTCATTTTGTTCCTTAATATTTTTATATTACAAGGGAAAATGTAGACCGACTTTTGTTTTTAACTAAATGTAGACTAACCTTTTTTCGTGAGATTTTTGGTCAAAGCTAAACGAAAACCATCAATACCGTACACCAGTCGACTCCTCAGGCTGCGACGAGGTTGACCACCTAATTTTTGGAGCTCTAAAATCTATAGTCTTTGCTAAAATAATGGATAATTCTGAAAGTAGAATCACAACGAAATTCGGACTTTTTAAATTTTAACACTAAAGAATGAAAAAACTTTTCTACGGTTTTTCGGCTTGACGCATTTGCTCACAGTCCCACTGTACTGCTCGAATCATTCTCTGTCGAACGATGTAGAATACATCTATTTCAACCCTTTTTCTAGCAAAATCCTGCTAAAAATTCTCTATGGCAAAAATTGAAAATTGTCTCCCTCCTAACTCAGCCAGTATGAGTCTGGCAGTTGGGAAATTTTTATAGGATACTCGGCAAAGACAGGGGGACAAAACGTACCATTCAAATTTTTTTAACGAATACTTTCATTTTTTTTTTCGATTGTACAAGAAAGTTACGGTTCTCTCATATGTAACATCATCAAAAATCCAAAATGATATCATGGGCTTTTGCCTCTTTCCTTTTTATACTGTACTTTTTTTCCTCTTGCTCAATAAATATAACTTAAACTAACAAATTTTCAGAATGAGACACTTCATCTACAAATTATTTTTTCTCCATTACAAAAATGAAACAAAAAATGTTTAACAACGTGTTATATTACAATTTGTTTTTCATTTAGTCGTGTACATAATCTAAATTAACTTATCACTTTGATTCAAGTTTCTTGTTTAAATGTGTTTTATATGAATGACCAAAACAAGAATGTGTCATCGATCATACGATTAACAAGTATAAAATGTTATGAACGGTTCACAAAAAGAATCAAACGTTTTTATGAGCTTAAATCGCATTAAAGATTAAAACACACGTTTTTACAACAATACAAAAAATCTGACTTTATGATAAAAATCTTAATCTATCTTCAAAATTATTGACAGTTTCTCTTTCGAAAACGTTCTGTAACGAAAATAGTCGCACAAATTTGATCTTAGTCATTAACAGGATTAGAATGACATGAAAAGAAAGACGAATACATATTCTTTAAAGTTTTTTTGCTTCACCATTAGTTTTTATTGATATGTGATACAGCGCAATATGCAGTACATAATTATGATTTCTGTAGAAAAAAAATTGATTTTTCGATGTTCAAGTTACTATAAATATAGAGAACGTTATCCGAATTGGATTTTTTAGCAGTCAGTACAATAGAGAACAGACCTAAAAGATTATCATAAAAGACTTTATAATCTTTTATTGCTCGAACCGATGATGTAATCAATATAACATAGTCTAATTTAATCTGTCGAAATATTTTTGCTATAACTGAAACAAAAATAATTGCCAACTACTATTATAAACACGCGAATACGTTTCTAAAAGTAACATTTATTCCATCTTAACATCTAAGTATCTCTCTAAGAATTTTAACGGAATAATAGTGAAACTTAACGATCTTGGAGATTATTGTGTTCATCAGTTCACGGATTGTCATACTATTGGTTCTAATGTCTGTTATTCATGATCCAATAAAGATGTTGTTCGAATTAATAATTCATCATTCTTTTCCTTTTCTGTTTGCAGCTGTTTATCTTTAACCAATTAGTTCTTCGCGTTTACGCTTAAAAGAATTGATATTTCTATCACAGTGACCGTAAGAACAGAAAAAGAAAGAAAAAAAATCGTCTATATTCTATTTGTTACTGACTGTTACAGATCATTTATTTGCATCCCTAATTGACGTGATGATACAATAAGATCAATATAGTTATTAATATTTTTAACTTTAATAATGTACACCATTGGATCAGATCAAGATTTTGCTGTTCAAATGGCAGCATCATTACAACAATTACCCTACCGTTCAGCATTCTACATGACATCACCATTTCTCATTTCGAATTTAAAAACATCGACCACATCATCGAGTCATCTAACACAGAATCATCATTTTGGTAAACGTGTGAGAAAAAATGACAAATATTCTTCGAAGAAGCATGTCAATAAATATCATAAAGATTCGTCAACAAAACAGTAAGTCAAAATTAAGAGCTTAGCTTTTTTTACTCTCCTCCCTAGTAAGTCCTTAAGGATTTTATCATTTTGTGTGTAAAAACTTGGTAAGATGTTTAGTGAACTGAATACTAATCTAAAACTGATTGACTAATGTAAGTTCTCGATAAAACGCGAACGATTGTTTCTTAATAACATTTATTTTAACAATAGTAGATAAAACTATAACAGTGTATAAACTGATAAAATAAAATTAAAAAAATTCTCTACAATATCTGTTAGAATAGTCAACTTGTTTTTGAAACGTACTCGATACTTGACAATATCAATTGTGTTTACTTCAATTATATTTTACCAGATTGTCAAATTCTACTAATCGTCCTGCTAAAAAGTCATTTGATATTGAATCACTGCTGGAACAACATAGTGTTACCGTCTACAATGATCGTCGTTTTAATACAAGTATCAGTGGTAATGATACATTGGATAATAGTGTCGATGATGATAGTGAAAGTGTTGCCACTAGTCCATTTCGTAGTCCAATATCATCATACGCAATTTACAATCAATTAAAATCATTACAAGAACAAGACATTGCATGTATGTGTCCGTCTCTTTTATTGTTTTATAATAAAAAATTGAAAAAAATCTAATATTTTAGCCTCCGAGAATCTATGTAATCGAAAAACATCACCATTAACAACACCACGTCAGAATGGTACAAGACCAAAACGTATTCGAACTATATTTACACCTGAACAATTAGAACGTCTTGAAGCTGAATTTGAAAAACAACAATATATGGTAGGAAATGAACGATATTATTTAGCTACAACATTAAATTTATCCGAAGCACAAGTTAAAGTTTGGTTTCAAAATAGACGAATTAAATGGCGACGACAATCATTAGAAGAACACCAACATCGTTTAACATCATTATCAATTGGGTCAACATCAAAACAACATGATGACTCAAAATATGACGAAAATCATACTGAAGAAAATGACATTGATATTGATGAGTCAACCAATAATGAAAATCAGTTAGGGAATATTTAAACAGATTCATGTACATTAGCCAATACAGGCGCATCTTTTGTATTAAAATTAAATAAATAATTATTTTTGTCAATTAGACACTTTTAGTAGCGGGAAAGTAAGGGTTAACTAAGTGTCGAATCATCTACTTAATACATGCATCGTTTGGACACACACGAGCATATTTGTCTGGATTTATCTATTGTAAGAAATCAGTATAGTACTTGATACCAACCAACTAAACTCCAATGACACATTACTTCGAGTCTTCAACTAATATGATTGAGGGAGGCTTAATAAGGATTATAGAGGATTTTTCGTAAAATTTCAAATTCTTGTTGTTTCAAATTGTATTGTTGTTTGAGAAATGATAAATCTATAAATAAACAAAAATATTCTGTTTCCATGTATAAGAAATGACTCTTCCTTAATTAACACATTTCTAGGAAATTGACGCTTTTTCTCTCTCTCTCTCTCTCTCAAAGATCATGTTATTTATTCTGAACTCGTGCTTGACACCATTTCTCTATGTGTTATACTAATGAATTGTTTTCCAACACTGGACTATTCAAGACAATCATTTATTGTGATTTCACAATTTCATGTTAGAATATTATTAGAGAAAATCTCACAATAGCGGAAACAAACAGTATGTCTCTGAGAAACGAAAGAAATAGGAATGCTACAATGTTTAGATAAATTTTGTGTGAATTTCTTTTTAAAATATACATGGTGACGAAAGAAACAAATCATTAGTTTTAACACGCTCACGGAAATAATAATTGTATAGTGTCATGAGACATGGATACTACACTTGTAAACAACAAGTTAAAAATAGAGAAACAAATACAAGTTGAAATTATTACTCAAACATCATTTGTATAATTCGGTACATGAGACTAAACGGTGTCATAAGTCGACATTTCTCCATCATCTGAATTAAATATAATCTCATATTCTTCTGTGGTTAGAAATGACTGATTGATCAAGTTAACCATACAGTTATAAAGCGATCAAAGTTAGAAGTTCGAGATATAAAACATACATTTTTTCTCTTTTCTGCCTCATCATAAAAATGTATCGAAACTCTTAGGATTCTAATATGTGTAGTGCTAACATACATCTAGAACGCTTGAAAACAAAAAAACTCCCGTACTTTTTGCTATTGTGCATTACTGTCTGATAAATAGAGAGCACGTCTTGATGACGTAGACTTGATCTTCATCTAACTCGTCAATAGTTTCATTTAAATTCGTAAATGTCATTTTATACGTTGAACTTTCCAAATTTGATGAGTCTAAACTTAGATAATTCAGACTATTGTTGGATTCATTCGCTTTGCATATTACTTTTGTAATAATAATAATCGTACAATATAAATAATACTTAAAGTCTGAATTATCAACTATAGGAGTAGACAACAGTACCAATTTGAGGATACTCTAGAGGTAGACAGCTGAAATGTAATAATCATCTAGGTACAACAAAATCTAAATGGTCACATATGAAATAATCATGCTCTTTATATTGTAATAAGATTTGTTCAAATAAAAATAAGTTTTTCCGTCTGCTCTCATCTCATTTATCCATGGGGATATTATCTACAAATCAGCAGCAAGGAGAACGAAAAAAATAATGTCACATACAAATACATCTTGTCTTGAATAAAGAAAAGAATCATATATTCGTATGACGACTAATAATCAATTCTTTTGAACTCCATCTTATACGAATCAGATGTGATTCTTCTCACATTTTGGTGGTGATATGCAGTATATACGGTATTTTTTTTGTCTCTTCTTTTCCTACTATATATATTCTCTATTAATTCGTATTCAATAGACGATAATTTCTTTTTTTATTCTATTGAACTTTTTTTAAGATCAGTCTGAAATTTATGATTAAGAGAACCTTCGATCTCTTCTTTGACTTGTGATGTGGAATCGAACAATGGATTTTTTTTATTCAATTCTCTATTACAAACAAAGATTGTTTTATAAATTTTTGTTTTGTTTTTTCTAGTTCTTTATCTACTGATGTAAAAAGACTTTGAAAGATTGACTATTTAAATAGTCACATCTTTTTTTATTCACTCTATCTGATAAATCTATCTGCATGTTTATTGTGTAAAGCGGATGTTTTTCTTTCTCGGTGGTGTTTATAAAACGATTTTTAATCTAAGGTGATAGACGTTTAGTAATTCTTGACCGAATATTTGAAAACAATTAATTTATTAACGTTTCTTTATCAAAGACGGTCACCAGTTTTGGTCACCTCTAAAAAATGTTGCGCTATTGTACAGTTGGTTTATTTCAAACAAGAAGGACTGTTCGTGATAATTGTTCTAATAAAAACAAATTCAGTTATTATGATGTTGTCTAGGATTATAATTTCGATTAAAACTAGTATATCGTGTAACTATGCGCATGTGCACAAATATCCTGTTAATTCCGAAAGCTATATGTATTTAAAAAAATAAAAGTCAAAATTGTGACGATGATGAGTATTTGTTATTAATGTGTTTTGTTTCAAATGATACACTTAAAGATATTGTACATAAATTAAATTGATCTTATTTCTATTATTTTATTCTTTGTATGACTCTGAAGTGTTTGATTTAACCATATACAATGATAATAGCCACTAAACAAACTTCTTCTATTTCCAACAGTATAAAACATATGGTAGAATGAATGAAGAGATATATGTGAGAATATGATAATAATGAACATTTGACAATTCAATTAATATAAAAAGCTTACATAAAGAGGATCAACAAATAAATATGCACAAGCATAGCAGGTAAACAAACCCTCGTTTAGTCGAAAAATATGATTTTTATTGATTCAATGATCAGCACTCTCCTAAAAACGTATAGAAAAGTATATAAGTATATTTTCATGACTATTTCTTATGCCACTGATCTTTGAATATTCAAAAGCAACAATTTCAATTATTTTTGTTCTTTCACTCTTATATAGTATGAATTATAGCGTCCTCTTGTAGATGTAGCTCTTCCTTACGCTGTGAACTAGTACATGTTAATATAGAAAAATTTGGAAATTCGTACACAAAAAATAATTTTTCTAAAATATGCAATAATAATGTTGTTATTATAGAAAGAATCTAAGCGTTTGTTACTCCAAAACAGCATTCTAACGCGTTTCCTTTATCCTTCGGTTCTTTGCACATCCAAACAGGTAGGGCGCTGAAATTATGTTCGAGTTTTCAAAAATCTTTCTAAATAATGATCATTTTTATTATTATACAGTAATACATAAAACATACATTAAAAAAAACAATGAAATCCACAAAACAAGTTGTCATGTTCTTTGAAAATAACCGTAAGTAATGAACTAACTAAATATAAAATCGAGATTCGAAAATAAATAGACAAAAGAACTCGACTAAGTACAAAAGAAATTGATTAATTGGTTAGTAATCATTCCGCTTTTGCAACTTTATTTGATTTAATAACTGCCGTCAAATCTAAGTTTTCTAAAAATAGGAAAAATGTTATTTAAATAAAAACAAAAATAAAGTACATACCATCATATTCTTTACGTTTAACACCAGATGTATTAATAAACAAATGATCTAAAAATAACACAAATTAGAGTGAAAAAAAGATCGATACAAGATAACTATTCGATTTTACCTGTTTTTTGCATACTATTATTCATTTGAATAACTGACAACATTTTCACATGCACTAAAAAGTAGAGAAAAACAAAATAAATAGACATAACTTAAATCTAGTAGAGACACTTTTCTTACTATCATCCAATTTATTTATAATTTGATTTGCACGTTGTTGAAAATCTGACTGTTGTATCATATTATTGTTGATATAACGTACTAATTCATAGTACTGGTTGATTGAATCATTAACAAGTGATTCATTAATGGAATCTTCTTGTTTGTCAGCTAAAGTCATAATTTATCAGTTATACAAAGCATAAATAGTTGAAAATAACTTACGACTACTATGATAGTGACACGTCATTTCAAGATGGATTTTCAAATTTACTATCTATAGCAAAAAGCAAGACAAAATAAATATAACGAATTTGATCGTTGATTATTCGATGATTTCTAAACTATTGACCAGTAAGAGACAAAGTCAATGGTGTGACAAGTCTAAAGGGCTCACATCCATCTTTAAGAAACTTAACTTACACTGGAAGCACTGTAGAATTTAAAAGTCCTTCAATTATAAATAGGTCTTAATTTAAATTTAAAATAGTTATAACTAGACTGAGTTTTAATTTTTAACTCCAGTTAAAAGTTATAACTCGAATGATAAGTAGTTAAGTAAAATATATGAACTATTTTAAGTAATTGTTACATAAAGACAGACTTCATTTCATTTCGTTTCTTTTTGCCTGTTGGTGAGATTTATACTCTTCTCGTAGCTAATTGAGACTTTATTCTTGTATGCTGCCTTTGTTAACTTTAATTTTGCTAATACATTTATCTCGTTTTATTGTTGTTAAACAAGAGTGCGAGGATAGAGCTCAGTTAACGTGAAATTAAAGTAACTCTAATTATAACTATTTTAATTTTTTATCAAAGTCAGTTAACTTTTAACTTCCAAAAATTACTTTTAAACTCTACAGTGACTGGAAAAAATGAAATAAAATATGAACAATCAACGATATCTGTTCGTTTACTCTTCTGTCTAGCTTTTATGAAGGAACTTTAAACATCGTACTCATTGATAGAAAATGAAAAAAGTCTATGCACAAGATGTGATTATTAATTTTCAGAAAGCATTAAGATAATTCAATAGTAAAAAATTCAAATTTAGATTATAAGACATTTTGCAGCCTTGTAAACGAGCGATATTAACTTACAGCATAGAATAAAAAGAATGCAATGTGTTTGAAGAAAAATTCTTTTTCAATTTGCTGGAAAAACTTGGATCCATCCGTTAGAAAAATTCTGATTGCTCCACTAGGGATTATAACTCTGCACTCTAACGGAACAATAATACGACTATTATATACAAAAATGCTCTAAATTTGTCATTATTATTTTGTACTGCGAAAAATTTGACTAATGTCTCTCCTCTTAATCAATAGTAAGCTACTTTTGCACATAACAATAACAAGTAGCTAATTTCAATTGTCGTGTGTAGTTTGCTTGATAATTCAAACATTATATCCAAAGTAGAATTACATTGAATACTAAAAGATTGATTCGTACTAAAACATATTTAATTTTATTGAATGTACCTGAGAAGAAAATTAACAAAAAGATTCAATAATAAATCAACAATTATGATAGTGTTTTAATTTTTTCTACACATTCATCGAATAAATCTTTATAATCTTCATGTGTACGTATTAATAGTAAACATGCTGTTCTATTAGCACTAACAGCACTGCCCAAATCTTCTTTAGATGGTACATAAACATAGGGTATATTTGCTTCTTCACACACAACAGGCATATGAGAATAAATATCAATTGGTGTAACATTTCCAGCTAAAACAACTAATCCTTTTTCACCACGTCGAATATATTTTTGTGTTTCTCGTAATCCTAGACGTAAATAATTTTTATGTTTTGATGCTTGTTTAATACATTTAAACAATTTTTTTGCTATTTTTTTAGAAGCTACCGGATTTGCTATCGGATTCATAAATTGAAATTTATCTTCATATGATCGACCATTTTCTTCTTTATCAGTTTCTTTCAAAATGCTAGTATTAGTACTTGTATCCATTGCTTCCGTATCACTTTTATTTTCACTATGAGTTCGTTTCTTTTCTTTCATTTTTATTTTGTCAAAACGATTGAAGTCAAATATCTAAAAAAAGATAATTAGATAAATAAAATAATTCAGTAAAAAAATTAACTTCTTAATGAAAATTTTCGCATTTATAAGGTGTAGTTAACTGTAAACCATTCTTCGTAACTGCTCTCTTCAACGGGTGTATATTTTTGAAAAATTGGAAAAAACCTACAAAAAAATTACCTTTCGGCGAAGAAAACCGATAGACAATTCTGCTTCCCTAAAATAATTGATAAAAAATCGGAGATCAGTGGCATATCAGATAGCAAAAAAAAAAATTTTCTCATACGGTTGCGGGTAGCAGAAAAATTCACGCGCGGATGCGGACAAATACCAGAGTCGACGCTACGAGCGTGGACGGGCAGACTAATATTGCTCGTGGAGACCTCTATTTAACAGTGAAAAAATTCATCATAACAACAATCTATTAAAAACGCTAGATACGCTCCTGACAATAGTTTAGAATCCAACAACTAGAACGAAGCATCTTTCCGACAAATTACAGATTTTTGCTTCAGCAAAAAGTATTTGGACAAATAAGAAGTTTTAGTTTGCTTGGACTATAGGATAAAATACAGGATAAACGTTATCATTACTGAACCTGAATGAAAAAAGTTCTGTTAACATAACCCCTTTTTTATATCAAAACAGAACACAAAAAACATACGAAAAAAATGACTACTGATAACATCGAGTCGATTGCACAACTTCAATCATTGTACAGAATATAGACACAGAATAATAGATTTAGTTTTGTAGTTTACTGCAAAGCTAAGTTCATGTGTTCGAATCTCTATTCGTACAAAACTAATTCTGTGTTTTTCGATATGTTCAAGTTTTATAGTTCAGAATGCAATAATCCAATATTTTTCCGCTTGTATTCTAAAAGAATAAAAAGTTTATATCAACCCTTTTTTATTTGTCTCTCTTCTCTTACTTTACATAAACGAAAAATAAGTATGAAAAATGGTGAAAAAAATAACAACAATAAGAACTAAAATTAACGGACACTCTCAGGTTGAACTTACGTTCAGAACCATCTCTTTTATATTCTCCTATTGTTGCTGAAAGTATACTACCCTATACTACTGCTATTTCTTAAAGAGAATCTAAACTATGGAAGCCAATGAACAGTGAAAACATTAATGCATTCATTCTAAGAAGTTGAATGAAGACTTCGAAACAGTTTTCCATTGGTTATTCTACTTTTCTCTTCGAGACATTATGTTTGTGTAACAGCTAGAAGTCCTGCTCCGTCTTTGTCTACCGTGGTTTCTAATTCCTTTTTTCCTGGACTCTTTTTAATTTTCTTAATAAGTCACCCCCATCTTATGAGTATAGTATCGTGTACTGTTACTGTGAAGAATTTCAATCATCATTTTTTTTAGAAGATTTTTTTCAGAATGCCTCGAAAGAGAAAGCGTTTGTTGCTTGCGAAAGGAATAAATAATTATACAGTGAATGAATCTAGTATTAGAAAAATTAATTCTAAACAACCAGCAGTACGCGTGGTCGATTTCCTTTCCAATCCGTACAATATTTCATTCAATATCAAAGATTATATAATTGTTGATACAACTACGGATGATCAATCGAAGCACAACGGCAATTCTACGATAAGCAATTCTGAAAATCATATTGAAGGTACAGCTTTGATTGAATGATTCTCTTGAGAAAACAAAGTTTTCTTTTAGATCAACATTCTACAGTAGTAGACGATGATTCAAAGACAAAAGCGAAGTATCAATCTAGCAATACGACTGTTCTAAATCAATTTTTGGGCTGCGATAAAGCAAATAAATGGCTTCCAAGAAAAGAAAGTGTTCAGGGTAGGTCATTTATCTTAGATATTGTTAAAATCATCTCATCAGTTGATTTTATTTAGCGGATAACCAAGTTGAACTGAATGGGCTCGAAACGAATGTAAATGAAAAAAACGTATGTACAAATAGATAAGTTTCTTTTCATAATTTGCCTAATTTTGTCGGTAAATGTCAACAATCGTTGAAACAACAACATTATTGGAATAGTATAACCGAGATAAACTGAGTTTCTCAGAAAGTAAAAATTGATACACGTGATTAAGAAGCATCGTTCTTGCAAACGAAATGGGTTCGAAAAAATACAAATTTTCTAATTTTAGTCTGAAAATCAATCGACATCATCAACAGCAACAACAACATCTACACAAGAAACAAAGTCGCATACAGTTACTGATGAATGCATAGTTGTTGATGATGATACAGAATCAACTACTACCACCGCATCCTCTCACTTAATTATAATTAATAATACAAACCAAGTTAATAATACTTATAGCAATTCAATTGTATATCTCTAGCAATAATCTCAATAAAACTCCGTTTTCTGTATTTTTCGTCAATTTACTTTTGTTTTTTTACAGTTTTTTAATTCAAACCAAAGAACTCAGGAAAAATGTTTTTGTTTTTATGTTCAATAATTTTTCGACTGTAAATATGTAATAATAGTCTCTTGTTTATTAAAGTAGTTCGATTGTTGGCTTTTTCTTTGTAAAAGGCAACAAAATCTGAATGATACCAGAAAATAATGAATGAATTTTAAACTGAGCAATTAATATTTTGTTTTGTATGTAATGCGTTCTACTAGTTTTTTTTCTGAAAATGAAATAAAAAATAGTAATTTGGCGTATACGGCAAAGTATACTCAAATCGTGTTCTGATGCTTGTGAAATCGTTTGAAAAAATGCAGCTCTCTATGAGAAAATATGTTATTTTTTTTCTGAATTTTCGTCCTTCATAGGATTTCACATCTCATTTTCCATCTTCGGATTTTCCACCTTGCAATAAAACAGTCGATACATATTTTGTAGAGAATTGAACGCGCTATCTTTCAGTAAAAAATTTGCTCGATTAATTATAAGAGAGAAGAGAAAAATTGAAAATACTAACACTATAATTCCTTTGGGTCATCCGTTAATAAGAAGACGAATGCTGATAACCCAATGAATGCTGTAAGTCTGCTTGTTAGTTTTGAAGTCTTCTTTTTCAAACATTGGGTTATCTTACTAAGCAAGTTTACGGATCCGGCAAAGTGAACTCATCTGTTTTAAGTCAGTATTATACTCTTATCATTCGTTCGCTGTGCGATTCTACACGATGGTACTGTAATTTTCGAAAATTTTTAAACCATGGAGTAAGCAAACCTTGATCAGTATGTAAAACTGAGTATTTCATCCAATCTTCAAGTAATTTGGATCCGTTTTTGGATGAGGACAGCCAGAAAGCGGTCTCTCCACATAGTCCGACTTTTTACCAGATTTTTGTGCGCTTTCACCAGAAAACAAATATTGCCATGAGACTCAACATAGTTGACAACCTATGTTTTCATCCATCTTGAAGATTGCTAAAAGTTACCAAGATCGATGCAGAAACCTCTATGGAATCCAATGTTACTCTTATACAATAAAAACCGAAGAGGGGAGAAGATTCTTATTCTGAAGAAGACGCTGGAGACTTTTCTGTCATTCAAAAAGCAAATGTGTTCGTTGTAACCATTTTTTCTTGGAGATCGGAAGTGTTTTTTCAGAGATAATTTCGTGAGAATTACATCGTTTAACAAGTTTTTATAACTTTCCTAACGATGTCGAGAATAGAGATGTGCAGGTCGATCTTGTCCTGTCCAGACCTAAAGGTCAGGGTAGAACTAGGTCTCAAAGCTCGTAGGGCAGGACAACGCATAGGCCTTTTTTTAAAATAACTTTGTTGCCTACGATCAATAAAGCTCATTGGTAGCCATGTTAACACAATCTGATATACACTTCACTTTAGAAAATCAAATTTCAAATTAAGTAACCTAACCTAACCTGTTAATGTTTTTCATAACCTAATCTAGGTTAACCTAATACAACCTATGCAATTTTTTCCCAAAACCTGGTTTCAGAAGCCTAAATTTCAGCTTTGTTTCATATCGTTATTGTTTCTTATCTAAACACCGTCTGATAGGAAAGCTTATACAAAATAAATCATATTTTAAAGGGATATAGAAATGAATCAGTTCGAGTCTTTTATTCTTTAATGGAATCTTTGGAAAATAGCTTTCTGAATAGGGAGACCCTCGTAAGAGTAGATCAGAATTTCACTTTAGACTCTCGATGCTACAAAAGTTCTGTTGTTGTGTATTCACCGTTTATTTTTAGCCAACGTAAGTTTTTTCTCTGTACTTCCTTTTTTGATTGTGCCATTTTTCATTTTAATAATAGTTCAGTTTAAACTAGAGAACCTCAGTCTGAACTTTATCGGTCAATCGATAAAATTCCACCTCGGACTACGCTTTATTACTCAAAGTATTGGCTGTTTTAATGTGGTCGTTCAAAACCGTATTTTTTCGTTTAGGTCAAAAATAGGTTATCAATGGCGTAATCTAAAACCACACTTATGAAACTCGTAACCTAAACTTATTCTAACCTATAGGTTAGGTTAGCTTAGCTTAACTTTAATCTGCAGGGCTCTACTTCAGACCACCATTAATCTACTCAACTGAAGATATTCAACAAATAAAAATAACAAATAAGAGAGTTTAAGTGGTAAAATAAAGCTGTCTAATCATAAACGATTCGACCTAAAAAGCCATAATCCATATTTCCGCCAACAATATTTAGCATTCTTGAAGATTGGCCTAATTAATTCGTTGATATTGAATTTCTGACTGTTAGTACAGCTGAAATACTGAGAAGTGGGGAGCTAATTCCACTAAGTCCAAACTACCCATTTCATAGTTAAATCACACGGATGTGTATAAAAATTATGCTTCCACTTTCAAGCATTTTGTGTATAAACTAAATCGCATATTTACAGAGTGGGTCGTTTTTTGATTGTAGCCAAAACTAAGCAAGAATTTAAGTGAAAATCTTTCTAAAGGTTTGATGCATTGAAACGCTGATTGTTTGAGAAGAATTTGTTTTTTAATAATATGATTTGAGTACTCAAATGTTCAGTAAGAGTTTGTTAAATTTATTTTAGACTTAAATTTCATCTATACACACGATATACAAATCTCATTATCACGAAATGCTTTGAACTTTTTTTTCCGAATGTTTCGCGGATTAATTTAGTTTAATTAAGAAGAAACGAACAACAAAATAACACAATCAATTTAATTTCAAAAGTTACTACGATAATTAAAATAAGAAAACGTTCACATTGCAAACGAAGTACGACAATTGCTCTAGACGAGAAGAAGAAATAAAAAGTGATCCCTACATTGAGCCGTTCTGTTTAACAAAACATTAAAGAATCATAAAATAGTAGATAAACGAAAAATGAAAGAAAATGTTTGAAAATGAAAGATGTAGTAAATTCTATTAATAACAGTATAGAATTAACGGCACGCAAAATATGTCTTAATGATGAGAATACAAACGAATTTTTACTGAAGTACGTGACCTCCAACTGGCATTGTTTGATACTGAACATTTTGATATCCTTGTGTTTGTTCGTACGAGTTACCACCTTGTTGTGGATCAACTATAAAAATACGTGTAGGTATGCTTTACTTATCAATAAAAAGCAACAAAAGAGCATTATTTTTGAAACATACCTCCAAATTGTTGTCCTTGTCCTTCCTGGGTGCTTCCTGTAGAGTAACCCGCTTGTTGATAACTATAGCCTGATGTGCCAACATTTCCAAAACCACCGATATTTGATCCCTCTATAACGCCTGCTCGTGGATCACCGTACCCTGCAAATTGAGCACCGTCAACTGCATAACCATTTTGAGCGCCGCCTGATAACGAAACACCTGATGCACTTGCTAACAAACCTTGTCCACCACCAATAACATCATATCCATTTTGACCGCCAAAATTTGGTGGCCCACCATTAGCGAGTAAGGCGGGATTGATCGTATCAGGACCGCCAAGTCCATTCTGTAAAATAGTTTAAAAGTATACATGGATTTTTTAAACATTAAAATATTTCTACTTACATATTCTGGTCCAAGATTAGGTGTCGGTAATACTTTAACGAAATCCGGCAGACCTTGTGTAGGTCTCAGCTGTGAACCATATTGTTGAACATATGCATTTGGATCTGCTTTAATGATGCCGAGGTTTCGAAATTCTTTTACTACGCGTGCTTGTGTGCCTTCCCATTGTATTATTAAATTCTTTTGTGGAGCAGGTGGAGGAACAGGCGGTGCTTTCTGATAAATAACACGTCGTTTTTGTTGTTTATATGGTAACCAGCGTTCGACGATAATACTAAAAGGTTAACGTAAATTTTGCAAATATTTTCCTCTCCTAGTTAGTCTTTTTACCTTTGTGGTTTTGGAGGTAATGGCGGCATGCGCTCAACTATTGGAAGAAAACAATTATATTCGATATTAAACTGTAATACAACGTATAAAACTTACTAATAACTCGACGAGGTGGGGGAGGCGGTGGTGGTACAGGCTTTGTTATCAATTTTGGTCCTATAATTAAACAATGTATTAATTTTTTATCCAAAATAGAAACAAAACCTTATCTACCAAGTTGTGCCGGTGGCTGTGGAGGTCGTTCTCTAATAATCAATGGTGGTGGTGTCTAAAATAAGTAAATATTATCATAAAATTAGCGAATAATATATGCGAGATGATATATACTCACTGCTGGTCGAGGTGGCCGTTGACGAATAACGATTGGAGGAGCTGCTGGTAAGGCAGGATTACGAACCTGAAGAGAAGATTTATATTTTATAGCATTATGGAACTTTTCGATTGCATTGATGTTTTCTGCTTACTTCTTTAATGATCAATGGCCCCGGTGGAGGAGGCGTCGGAGGACGAAGGTATCGAACAGCAACTTCTTGTTTGTATGTTACAGCATCGTTTGCATGTTTACGAATAATTTGAGGATTTGGATCGAAATTAATTTTATATGAACCATGCGGTCCTTGTACGAGTTGACCACCACCGCCACCACCACCGCCGAATTGTTGTATTAGAGCACCTGGATTTTGTTCAGTTGATCCTGATGCACCATCAATATAACCTCCATATTGTTGGCCTTCTACCCCACTTCTCGTTGCATATTGTCCATACTGACTGTATTCTTGTCCACCACCACCACCATTCACAATATTTTGATTTGTATATTCAACTTCTTGTTGTTGTTGATCTCCACCTACACCTTGTTGATACCCTTGGTTATATCCGTTTATTTGTCCATAGGATGCTCCAGCTCCTCCAGGACTGTGAGCTTGTGCTTGATAAGTGTACTGCTGATGACCATAGGATTGATCTTGTGGAACACCCCCGGGTGACGCTGACGTTGGATAAGATGTAGTGACTGTTTCAGCCATTATTAATTTGTTGATAATTTAATTAAAAATATTTAATATGTTTATTAGCACACACACACACGCAGACAGGTGATCGGGTTTTTCCACTTAATAAATCGAAGTGAAACAAGAGGGTATCAAAAGAGGTCAAACGTAGTTTTTTTATTCTCCGTTTTCTTCTTCTTTATACAATGATATATGTATGATTAGTGATGCGAACGATATATTTTATTATTACAAAAACAAAATGATATTGTGGTCAGGTAAAATATATTACACACATATACCTCTTTTTCTTATGTGTATGGTGTTGGTTGACCTATCCAATGAAACAGAGAGTCAGTGATATTAAACTAATTTTTTTTCTCTTCATTTCTTCCCATATTTCACCATAAATCATTTCGCCGCTAATCGTAGTTTTTAAAACTTTTCTTTTTGGTATGGATGGATGAGTTGTTCATCGAGCAAACTTTTGAATATACTGAATGTGTGTGACAATAAATTTTTCTTCTGTATTACTGTATTATCACAAAATGATGATACATTCACTTCAATCATGTATTGATTCAAAAATGCTTATACCTCGCATATTAACTATTAATCAGATGAATACTTGAATAACTATGTCACTATATTATCACCAACATCAACTATGTGTATAAGAGCAGAGCCATAAAAATATAAAACTGAATACACAAGCGCGTAAAAAGAGCTTGTTAGCGTTGGCTTAGGGAGCAAAATGTGCAAACTTGGTAACAGAAAGTGCAAAAAACAGCCATTTTGCCCTCCACCCATGTGTAAATTTAGATACCCTCCACAATGTTGAACACAGTTGAAAATTTTTCCCCACATGTGTACACGGCAAAATAGTCGTCCTGCTTTCAACGTACGCGTAGAAGATAATTTTATATACGCGAACACGAATTTAACAACATTTTTATAGTGTTAATGGCACAAACCACTACGTTTTCAAATATAACTCGTGAATACGCATGAAACGCTTTCTTTCACGTGCGAACATGGAGTAAGTTCATGTCATCACTCATGAAAATCAGTTATTATCTGTATTCTCACTGGAAAGGATAAGTGATTGATCGTTGACGCGCGTGAAATATTTAATTGAAACGTGAACGCCCATTCTCTTCAGTTGTGCGGCTAAGGTGTTCGAAAACGAAATGCACTTCGCACCGTGCAAACTGTTGTTTTAACACTTTCATATCATTAAAATGAAAACACTCCAGTTCGTTTGATTCGTTCAGTTCGTAAATACACACTGTTGAGAGCATTTTACGAATTGATACCATTTTACGAATTTCGTAAATACACATTGCTAAATCCAAGTTTTATACTACTCATTAATTTTCATGTTCGAAGGATTCGCAAATGCGAAGTGTATGATAAAATTAGACAATTCGTAGATGCACCTTGCAGAGCGTGGACGAATCGCAGGAATTTCAAAAACTAGATGTTACTGTTAATTCGCAGCGTTTTACGAATTCGCAAATGCACTTCGCTGTAGACGCATGAATTCACAGAAAGCGGGTAAACCAAATTGCTAGGCGTATGTGCGATTTCGTAAGAAGTAGTTGGTAGACTGTCTGTTCTACTAATTGTACATTGCAATTACTTCGTACGTTAAAAGTGCAAAGTCGCAGGTGAGTAGCTATACTAACTATAAAAAGTCTTTTACTTCTACATCGAGAAATCTGCAAATTGCTTGCTCTTTGTACTTTGCAAACAATTCGTATGAAAATGTGAGAATTCGCAAGTTCATTGCTGTTAAAGTAGATCAAAATCGAAAAACGTTTTCCTCTAGGTCAAAAATCTGCAAATAGCGTGCACTTTGCACATTGCAGTCAATTCGTATGAAAATGTGGGAATTCGTAAATGGGCAGCTACGATAAATATCCGAAGTTGAGGAAAGTTTCTCACTCTATATCTCTATAATATGTTAAATTACATAGCACATATCATCATAAAAAACAAATGATGGAATGTGTGAATTCGCAGAATTTAATACGAAGTAACTGCAATGTGCAAAGTGCAAGCAATACGCAGATTTTTGGAACTGGAGAGAAACTTTCTTCCACTTCCGCTATTTATCGTCCGTAGTCAAGTATGAATTCGCACGGTTAGATACAAATAACTGCAATGTGCAAAGCCGTTTCGACATTTCTCAAGCGGTAGGGAAACTTTCGTTCACTTCTGATATTTGTTATGAGTAGTCATGTGTGAATTCACAGAATTTAATAAGAAATAGCTGCAAGGTGCAAGCAATACGCACATTTTTGCCACTGGAGGGAAACCTTCCACTTCCGATATTTATCGTGCGAAGTCATGTAGGTTCTAGTTTAGATTGGTGAACGACTCTGCCTTACACATAGTTGGATTCATATTCTACAGTAATGGTTTCCAAAGTGCTCGTTTTTACATTGCTTCGAGTTAACACATAACTTTTGCTTTCTTTTTTGAAAAATTTACATAGTTCGGCGAATTCGATCTTGCACATCGTTGTTTTAAATTTGGCAGCGACGATGTGCAAAACTGCACATTGCCACCATTGTTGAATTGACATCTAAACAGGTCAGCGAGTTTTACCAAATTCGTGTCTGCACATTGATGAGCATGTTTTCAACAATGTACAATTCGCTATCACTTTGGAAATGCAGATTGTTGAGACGGAAAAAGACCTTGAATAGTTTCTAAATGCAATTCGCTCCTCGATACACTTCGCAGATTTGGTATGTTTACACAGTGCTTGAAGTACCAGTTAATTGCAGCGAAGTACAATTCGCACGGGAAAACGCAATCTGTGAATTCGTGTTTGAACGCCTTGGCCGCACCGCTCATTCACTTAGTTATTTGCACCGTCACCACGCGTGACACAAAACTTTTTGCTTGTGTTCCCTGGTGAAAGTTTAGAGCAAGGCCCCTTTCTAGCGTTACCATTCATGGAAACAATTCTCTACGCGCAAACACGATGCAGACAGATTCAATGCTTACGTGTTCACTATTTCATAGCATGTCAACAATCAAACTCGTCCTTTTTAGTAGTAAAATCATGGATACAGTTCATGCAACATCACTACAACTAGATGTACATTGTAAAATGATAACGAATAACAACATTTGTAACTGTTGGTGATGACGCGTGAGTGTACAACAGTAGACGTTATTATACCTAGAGACGAGCGAATGTGAAGGTAAAGTATGAGATGAATATATCGTGTTCAATAAGGCCTCAGAATAGTTAGTAAACTCGTGTGAAGGTGTATGATCACTTGTTTGATTCACATGGAAACTACCTTTTTAATGTGTGCACACGTGATAAATCTAGCTAGTACACGTGACGTGAACACACTATTTCATGCATATTCACTGAATATAGAAGGAAAACTAAAGAAGCATATGACACACAAAACTATTCAGACAAACTATAGTCTATAATATTCAACAGAGAATCACCACAGCTTTTCTGGATGTAGTAAACGTACTAATAGCGAGAATAAAAATATAATTTATGACTGTGGCCTTCACATTCGAAAAACTCGATTGTAACACACTATTTTAATGTACGAATATCGACCTTTTTTGTATATTTTTAATGCTTTGTGTATTATCAATCGATAGAGAAAGAATGATGGATCATTCATTATTCTCCCAGCAAGCGATGTCGTCGTCACTTCCTCTAGCAAATTCTTACATACCAAGTTTTAGAAACAGTTCTGAATGTCGTTCGCTTTCTGGAGTCTTTGAAGATTTCTGAAAGTTGTCAATCTACGGGATAGTACTCTTGAACAGTACTGAATTATTGTAGATCACGCGGGTATCTTCGAGTGCCTCGGAGGCTGCCAATTAGAAAAAAATATAATAGGGTAGGAAACAGTGAAAAAACGCCCTACTTTTCATGAACACTAATTAATTTGTCGTTTTGTTCACGCGTGCTCTTGAGTGAAACAATTACGTGTGTTCACGCGTGTAAAAGTATTTCGATATGAGAAAACGCGTGAACAAAATGACAAATTAACTGGTGTTCACGAAAAACATTTTTTACACACCAGTTCACACGTGAAACTGAAAAAAATTCCCCCACGCGTGTTTACATCGTGGAGGATATCAAAATTTCCATATAGACAAAACCTCTTTAAACTTAAAACTTTGTTTTTTCTCTGACGAAGGAAAGCTCTAAGAGTTGTCACAAAAGAGAGAATTTATGCCCGGTTATATGTACATATATCAAACCTTAGATGAAAAAATTAGGTTACACTGCTTCAAATGAATTTGATTACTTTAGTCGATGTTATAAAGATTGATATATCGTTGGTAACAATATAAAAAGTCCTGGTAACTTTGAATAATTACCTGCAAAACATTTTCCTATGCTTATCATGTTAAATTTTTCGAATTGATAGTTCTAAATACCTATGAAATAGATATACTATACTGTTATTTTTATACCGAGTTATCTATTAATGCATTGGATTAAAATAAATCGGTACAGTGAGATTTCCGTCTGTTTTGTCACTGTTCATCAATTGTTGGTTGCTGTAATTTATCTTTCATGTTATTGTCTCATCAAACGGGTTTTTCGATATAGTGATTTTTCGTGACATACAGACAACAGTAATAAAAATAGTGTACTTATTCATTTTGTGAGGAATGGAAATGAATTATCATTTTTCTTAGCTTAATAAAGTTGATTGGAGTTTCTTTCGAAACTTTCGTTTGTTAACGATTTCTATCAAATCTAATTATTTACAGAGTCTATATCTATTTTTAGACGTGCCATTAAACATAGTGCAATCAAAGTGAAAAAATGTTGAGGAATATTTCAAATTTGTATATTTCCAGACATTTAAATTATTGCTTTTTAAGATTAACAGCTAAAAAGAGATCTCTTTCCCTCTCTTACTATTATGATGCCGTACATACTTTAGAAAAAATTAAATTATTATTAATTACAATTGAACAAAATTATAGATAACTAAAGAAAAGGAATAAAAGTATTGAGATACTGCTGCTGTTACTGTCATTTTCTCTTATCCAAATATGAGAAGATATACAAAAATATTAGATTTTATCAATAGACTTTCTAATGATTGCAGAACAAAAAAAAGAATTATTGTCCAGATTGATTTTATAACGTTTTAATCGGTACCAACTGTTGTGGTGATGATGATGATGAACGATATTTTGATTTCGGTTCACACATTTCACTTTTATTTCCACGATTAGGGCGACAAAATGATTTTGGTAAACTTCGAAAACGAAAATGAACATAACAACAATAACCATCACCACAATCTTCATGAAAACGACAATTATCCCATTCTAAAAAAAAACAGAACAATAAATCACGCATTCATATATTTTTTTGACATAATTTAGATGTTACTAAGAGATATTGACATCCTGAAATCAAATATCAGTGGATGTATCATGGGATATAGCGTCTCGAGTTACCTATACAAAGACCCACTAACAACCAGATAACCGAAAGCAGATTCACTTTACATCAAAATACTTTCCGAAAGAAAACACGTACTGATAAATCTCAATTTCTACTAAATGCCGTAGTGTAGACAGAATAGGGAAGAGGATCCTCAACTGGAACAGGCCTGCCTTGAGTCAGGCAATTAATCCTAATAGTTCGGACTTTGTTTGTTGAGTCTCATTCAGAAAAGTAACTCAAATAATTTTTGCTAACCGCCTTTTATTTCCTTGTTGGCCTACTAAATCACAAAACTTTCGACTGGTTATCTCATCTCATTGTCGAAGTACATTGGGATGCTATTGTTCCACAAATAAAATTCTTCACACTTATCATTTATTTCAAACTAAAATTTTAACGTTTTCGACTTTCCGATAGCTTCCTAATAGAAACCTAAGGTGTTAGGATCCTACTCTCTAAAAAAAGGCGTATTTTAATAAACCGAAATACTCCTGTACAGTTATGTTGCCAAACCCTTTTGGGTTTAGTAGCGATTTCAGAAAACTTTTACGATTGACACTAAACCCTCAAGTTTATGAGAGAAAGCCTCCTAAAGCTCAGAAGGGTTTAAAAAAAACTAAACCGGAATTTTTCTCATCATTCAGAAATCAGAGGATTTTTATTATTTCTCTGAAAACCAAAGCAGTTTATTGAATTAAAAATATATAGTTGCTTTCTTAGGACAGTTTAATATGAGCTGATTTTTCAGGAAGATTACTGATTTTTTTCCTCAATAGGTCCGTTAGTGGTAGAAACTGTGAGATTTATTGACTGCCTTACAATGACGATGAAAATGACGCTTATAAAAAAGAATCTTTAATCTGTACTCAACTGGGATCAATAAGATATTTAGTAAGTTAGAGAAACTCGTTTCTAAACCTTTTTACGAGTTTTTGGATAGAAATTATGAAACCTTTATTCGTTCCTAGTTGTGACATCCTCGTAAACTCTTTTTGGATTCCGTAAAATATATCTAGTTTTTATAGAGCAAGCACCAGGGCTTTTGCTAGGATTCTAACAGAATTCTATCAAATCCTACGACTTTTAGATACTCCTGATTCCATTAGGATTTTATAGGATTTTGTTAGGTTCCTAAAAGCCCTGTGTGAAATTCTAAGTGATACGTCACTGATATTTGATTTTAGGATGTCAATATCTTTTAGTAACAACGCGTGCCACTTGACCTGCACACTTTATCTATCAGAAAGCATTCTATGTCAACTGTACATGATTAAAATTAATAAAAAACTTTTCATGTTCTATATAATACCGAGTTTTTTTCTTTGATATTCTTCAGATCCAGCTAACATCGATTGTGGATAATATTTTCGATAAAAAGATGTTGAAAAGTCTGAAGTTCGTATAATTCGGTTGGTTTTTGAAATTGGACCACAAACATTTTTTTGTTTTGCATCTAAAAAATAAGTCCTTTAGAAATATAGTTACCCATTATGTGTAACCATTAAAAAAATCTAATCTTAATTTACCGTAATATCTACTAAAAGATTCGTCATGTAAACAATTCAAATTAAAACAACAATCACGATCGACAATACATTCATCTCCTATGGTTTGACACTAAAATAAAGAACGACTTATTTTGCACATTAAAAAAAATCAATGAATATATTTCTATACTAACTTGTTGTTCATTTTTGGTTGACACACATTTGATAAGAAGAACTAGTAATAGTCCAATAATCGCACGATAGATCATAATAATTAAAATTTGTTGTTACTGCTCTTATTGAGTATTATAACACTAAAGTATATAGAAAAAAAGATTCTAAAACTTTATTGTTTTTATACCTAAGGTCAAATAAATATCGATGTACGACAAATATACAAATGTAAACAGAAACTCTAAACTTTCATATATTTTTCAAAGATTTTTATCGGTAATATTTTTTTCTTCTGTTTGTTTTTCTTTCTCCGATACTACTGTGTGCTCAATTAATTATGAACATATTGGATACTCCTATTATCGGAGAAGAAATACGGTAGATCGATATTAAATAAATTAACAACAGATATCAGATTCTATAGCAAAAAAACAACAAGAATTGATAAAAATTTTGACTTATTTCTATTTTTACTTTTGTTAATTTATGAATGATCTTGTATCAAAAATTGAAACGTAATCATCAGTTAGTCCTACTTTCAAGATGCTTTAATTGACAGAGACATAAAAGATGAACATTGTTCAGGATGTTTGCGTGGGCTATGTTAATGGATAGTGTTAATATCTTTATTTATTGAAAAATGAATTAGGATAATAACTTTCATATTACAGTAACTAATTATACACGAGGAATCAATCACAAATAGTCAACAAATAGAAAAAAGAGAAATCTCGATGAGAGAGAGAGAGAGAGAGAGCGAAAGATTAGAGAATGGATAATATTCGTTTGAAATTCTTCTTCATTTGACTGTTTTGAAATGATTAGAAAAGATATTGATCGTATAATATCAATTCAGTCGAGAAATTTTAAAAGCGTGTCCGACCAATCGAATTTTTTACGAAGTTCCTGGAGGTGATCAAGAATTGAATGAGACTAAGAAATTTTTCTAGAGTATCCGGATTCAAAACTTAGTGCGTACAAGGTAACCGACTATGGAGAGTCCGAATTTGCAACTAGTTTTAACCGAATACGCTTTTAAAATTTCGAGATTGAATTGATATGGTTTCCAATGCTAAATACGCTTCTTACTATCATTCAGAAACAGAAACATCTAAAAATTTTGTTTTACATTTATATCTTAGAAATGTTTACTCTGTAATCGGTTTTCTCTCACATTTGTAAAAAAAAGCAGTAACAAAAAAAAATTACGTTTTTACAAAAAAAAAAAGAGAAGAAAAACCTCACCGTTGCATATATGTGCAATTAATAATAACACAGTATCAAAAACGATGGATAGATCTCTATAACTATTTTCTTAAATAGATTAGCACATATGAGAAGAAAGCGTTCTTGTTCTTTTCCGAAATATATGAATAATCATAAATTAAAGTCAAGAAAAAAAAAACAGGAAAAAAGGAGAAACTAAGTTTTATACAAAGATTTTTTTAAATATTAAAAAGAAAAATGGAATAGAGAAAAAGAAAAATATATATATATATATAGTGGGCGCGATCAATCATATTGGAATAAGATAACATTGTCGAAAGAAAAAAGATCAATTTAAAAAAAAAAAAAAAATTGATTTAAAATTTTTCAATCAATTACCTACTAGAAACTGTAAATGACATATTATTTAGTCTTTTCTCAATAATCATCCGAAAAACGGTATAAATATTTGTAAAATAATCTTTTATTCATCTGCATGTAATAGTAGAATCGTGCCAATTTTTATTATCTCCTCTTCACTCTTCTTATTTTTTCTTTTTTTACAATCCAAAATTGAGATATTTTTTTGTATTTTAAAACAGGAAATATCAGTATGGAAAAAACAACAACAACTTGATGAGAAACTAAAACGTTTTTGAGGGCGAAAAAAGAAAGAGGAAAGAACGAATTTATGCTATCACAAAAATTAGTAAAACATGAAGACATGATTCTGAATTTATAATTTTCTTTTTTAGTGTTGATTTTTTTTTTCCAAAAAATTTATACAAAAATATAGAATACTAATTTTTTCTATAGTGTGATATTTTTTTATATTTTTAATATAATATCAACAAACAAATAGTAGATGATTCGACTAATATTAAATGATTTATTCACTAATCGTTTTCTTTCTTTTTTTTTTAAGACGACCAGTCATGTAAAAAACTAATTACCTGTGTCGATTTATTTATACACGATCTCTATTCTTTTACAAATTGAAAAACGGGAAGCACTTAAAAGTTAGAGAATTACAATATTATATTTTCCTCCTATACATAATTTCTTTTTTTTTCTTTTTCTTTCAAAGAAAAGATATTTATTTCATTTTATAGACAATTTTTGAAATATCATATAAAATTTAACTTGAATTTTTTTATTAATATTGAATTTTGATATATTGTTTTGTGATTGTTGTTATTGTTTTTGTTTTTGTTCAACTTTAAAATATTTATTCATATTTGCTAATAGAGAATTTTTTTTTCTAATAGTAACTTTTATTCTAAAGTGTTTCCGATGACTTAAACAGGGAATATTGCTGCCATTAGTTTTAGATATATAGTTCTTTTAAATTATCACATATCTTTATAAAATTGTTTTTATATATTCCTATTCCATGACAGATAAGATAGACAAAGACAACAGGATTTTTTGACAAGTGAACATATCCCGTTTGGAGAGGATAATTGTCATGAATTATATTTAGTTTTGAACTCGATAAACATGAAAAGTTAAAGAGTCTATCTTTACCCATAAAATCTAATCCAAATAACAGCGCTAAACTATTAAAGGAAAACTAAAATACTCTTAAAAAGAAAATCTTTCCATGCCATATAGCAACGATAAATGTGTATCATACTTCTAATATAAACTATTAATATTTTAAAAGTTAAAAAATCATAATTTAATTTCAATTGACATTTAACATTTCTTTTAAACAGAAAAGGTAATCAATTAATTATTTTTAACTTTTTAAATTCTCTTTTTAATTAATAGATGTTTGTCAAAATGGTTTGATATATGATGAGTGGGTTCAATCTGTTTTATAGTTATTCAGCTCGAACGTAAAGATACTTGTCCTACAGTGCGCATACATACCCATTAGTAAATGAGCTGCACTTGTCATTGTTGTTCTTCTTCTTGAAATGATTGTATGTACACTTACATTTATCTAAATTCGCTTTATCTAGTGGGAGTTTGAGAGTGTATTACTTCAATCTCTCACGAAAATCATATTATAGATCTATAGAAAAGAAATATAATGTTCGCTTTCTTCCTCTCTCATTCTCTCTTATTATTATTATTATTATTATTA